AAAAAAGTAAAAGTACTTGCAATGTAGTTTGCAAAGGGCTCATCAGACCTCATCTCTACTGTGATCCAAATTCTACCAATGCTTCCTTCCCCCGCAAGTCAACAATGGCATAAACCACTGCCAACAGATGAAATTTCACGTTTGCATAAAATTCACTACTTCAGTACTAGCAGGCTTATATGTTTTAACAAGGCGTGTCACTAAGGTGGCGGGTCCTTGCCGCCGAATACGTTAGTGAGGACAGGTCCAGCGACAACTCTTGGCATGGATAACTCGTTTCTGCTTAGACAGTGACTATAGGGCCCCGAAATCACTTTCTGATTGGTACTTTGTCAGGTTTCCTTTTACCAGCATGCAAGCGTGATCAAATGCCGTGTAAGTGTCATCCATTTAGATTGAGAAACAGTAAAGAGAAACTTGAATGCATTACCTCTGCAGCTTCAGCTGAACCTTCAATTTCACTTTTATTGACCGCTACAAGTATCGGCATCCGTTGCACGTATTCATTTGAGATCACTTCCCCTGCAAAAATTTCATTAGAACAAGACAGTGCAACGAAAGCAAACTCACTGAAAACACTGGACACTTCTGCAAACAGTTCCCGTTTTGTAGCATCGACCACAAAGATCATAGCATTGGCTTCATCGTAATAGCTGCTCCACAGCGTTCGAAGATCTTCTTGTCCACCCAAGTCCCAGAAGTTTAGGCAAGTGTTATTGATTTCCACTTTCCCGACTAAATAAAATGGCGATCATATATGAAAAGTATTGAAACAAAAAACTGACTATTCAAGCCAACAGTGCTGGTGATTCTCGCAGGATTCAAAGCACCATAACCATGCACAAAGTGAGACTTGATTTGTTCCAGAAATGTCTGAAGCGCAAACAAAATTGAGAATAATCTTTCTTATTCGCTATATAACGAACCGTTTTCCCAACGTTGTCTAAACCCACGATTACAACGTAATAATCTCTCTTCTTGAAAAATCTTTCCCATAGTCCAGCTGAAAGAGTGTACATGGGAGCGACGCAACTCGCTTTCCCGACTACATAAACCTCAAAGTAGGTAGTAGAATCTGAAAAAAATGAGTGGTAAAAGGTGAGCTCCTAAATGAAGCCTATACGAACTCTCATAAAAATCATGTGATAAAAATCAAGCTTGAGAAAGTGTAGACAGGACAAACTGACATTAAGTG